GATGTTTCGTTTAACTGGAGCGTTTCTCTTATAAATGCGGCATTATTTTCGCCACGGAGACTTACAGCCGCGCGGAATTTTTCGATTCCGCTTAACTTTAGTCCGAGGTATGCAGAGTGTCTCGCAAATCGCGTCCTCGAATTCAACACTTTGACTTTTATTTAAATTTGCGCTCTGTCTTGCATATACATTATGTAATATATGTCATGTGTGTGTGTGTGTATGTATGTAAATTCCATTATAACAACAACTCCAACATCGCGTTACATTTTGCCAGTCTAAAGAAAACATGTCGTCTCGAGTCGCTCAATGCTGTCTGCCCCGACAATTTGCAACAGAACAAATATTTGTCGACAATAAAAGCGTAATATCATAATGTACACGTGTAATTCTAGTTTCGTAATTACTTTTTTAAGTAAATACTACGTTGAACGATCCCGTGTAATCCATCGAAAGTTTCTGCAAGAAACGTGTCAAAGTGTTAATGACACATTGTGACATATCATATGTTGTGTTATGTGTGTAATATAAATAATATGTTGTGTAATATAAATAATAATTAGAAGACAGAACCAGCCTGAATGTACACGAAAAGTAAAGCGTTGCTTGCAAACGTCAAAATTCACTATCGACGAATAGCTCAGAAAAAAAGTAAAACTAATTACACAAACTCGATTTATTGCGAAAATCATTGGGTCATAGAAATAATTGCAATTCAAAAACGAAGTCATATTTATAGGTTAGGTCATATTATTTTATGAATTTTTACGACAGTCTTTTAATCTTGTAACTATCTCTAAAATAAAAATCCTACTCAAAATAAACGAATATAGAATTGAAAATATTATTCGGAAAAATTCAGCTTTTTTATATAAATAACAGAAGTAAAAATAAATGAATTTTCTACAAATCTTTGATATAAAGAATATCAAAGTGTCTGGAATTATTAAAAATTGGTTTATATAACGTAACAAATATACACATAAAGTGTGATGTATTTTTAACAAAAATAAATAACTTTCGATAACCACAAATACCGTAAAAAGTATGAAAAAATTTTATATCAATATTCCTGTGTATCACACAATTTTATCCTAATACTGTAACAATTCGGTTTATTTTTATTAAAATGTTTTTATTTCGTACTTTTAAATTTTTTACTAAAAGCTTATTTTTAAAGAGTCAATTAAAAGAAGTTTTCGTTCAAAGCCGGTAAAAGATGAAAGTTTCATTTTGTATCTCTAGATGTTCTCAGCTTTTCAAGCAAGAGAATGACAGATTCCCAAGTTCAGAACAGATCTGAATAATGACACTAATTCGAAAATCATGGAGATTAACATACTGAATAAGCTACACAAAATGTCATTTCCATATCTTTAACAATACTCGAATTATAAAGAAACATATAAACAGACATGCCTAGAGAACACACTAAGAACTTCCTCTTCTAAAGTTGGTTAAAAAATTTTATAAATATGCTTGATGAAGCTTAAATATGTAAAATAAATTAAATAAGTTAAATATTTCTGAATTTGAAATATCGGGTATATATCGAAATATATTATGTGACACAAATAAATTTTAATCCAAATCCATTCTTTCAAATTAACGAAAAACGCAAAATATGAAATAAATTCATGATTTCACAATAACAGAGTTTATTTTTCTTTTTTAGTTGGACATAATGTTACAAACGCATATATTTTCTTCCTGTACATTAAGTAGCGGATAATAAAGTATAATAGAATGAATAGTAAGACAGCGATAAGAAAGAGGATAATATTGTTCAAAAGTGGATCTAAAAAACGATTAAGGCAACGAAGATTCGAGAGATTCATCGTGAGTGAACGCAGGAGTCGCAAAACAGTCGTCGGGAAACGGATCGGTCCAGCTCCTGTGTAGTCATTTTCTAGAGGACTCGAAGGACAATCGCATTTAATCGAGTCGTCGTTTACCGAGACTCTTGCTTAAAGAAGATCCCAGATGAAACGAGAGCAAACTCGATCGTTTCAGTATCTAGAAGTCGACAAACTCTGTTTCCCTCTTTTGTGGTAACGCCGTTAGAAAAGCGTCTTTCTTCTTTCCTCCTCTTAAGAAATACATTCCCTTCGAATAAATCTCCAAAATTTTATTTTAGCACGTAAGGATATGTCTTAAATCACAAGGATATATCTTAAATCACACTGGGATCTTTTAAAATTTCGTAGTAAACGATTCACATAATATTGCTAGATTAAAAAAACTTGTACGACAGTACTAAAAGTGTTTTGATTTCAAAGTGTTGGATCTGATTGTTCGACTGCGTACCTCGTAAATCGCAAGATAGACACGTAAAAGAGAAGACGGAAAAAGATTTTCGTTCACCGATAATTGAGCCGTGTTATTCTGAAAATGCAATTTAACCGTAAAACTTAGTTACTGCCCATCCATTGTACGCAAAAGTCTCTGGTTCTATAAAACGGATCCTCGAGTATTTTTGGTGCCGAGAAAAGAGAGCATTTAATTCTCCGTGGAATTTGTGGAGTCACTCTTCTCCCGCCCGAAAGAGACCTTAAGGAAAGGTATTGTTTAAATTCTAAATCCACTTATATATCTACGTGATTTTGGGCGTCTCTTCTCGTTGTGATACTGATTTCGATATTTCAAATCGAATTAATCTTACTCATCGATCCCTTCTTGTTACGGGAAATATGTTTCGATCATTTCTTTAAGAAAAATCTGAAGAAATGGAATTTTTTGTTCATCTTGACATAGATTGTATTCGAATATTTTTAACCTGCTTGTTTTGCGTAACATTTTTTTCGCGAACATTGCGACACGCTGGGAAGATGGGTCAGGTATATTCTTAGGAGGTTTAAGTTAAATTGAAGCGCTCTTACCTCAGAGGAGGAAATGTTATCACCGTCGCCGACAACAACGCCAGAGGCTGTTCATCGAAATAGGATTACTTTTTTATTAAAGGGTCGCGTGATACGCATTTAAGTTTCACGGCATATCGCAAAAATTAAGCCCTCGCCCGTGTTACGATTATATAAAACTTCGGAGCATATCGTGTCGTAATCGATCCACGAAAACGCAAAGTTTCGATCCCGCGACGGTTATGAAAGAAAATTCGTTTTTACAACACTTCTCCTAATTATATTTATAACATTAGTTGTACACGTGTGGCATTAATTTAACCCTAAACAACTTAAAAAGTTGCGTAAACAATGAATTCGTGAATAAATTTTATCCAATGTACATCTTCTTTTTATTATAATTCCCGGAAAAACAAACGAGTTTTATGTTTTTTTCTTTTTAATTAGGGTTGAAATCGTGTTGAACATGATTCTTATTAATATTTTTGCGACTCAATAAAGTTAGAAAAGTTATAATAAAATACAAAACATATTTCTAAATAATATATGAAAAATTGATCTGGTTAAATTTTACTCATGCCTACGGTTTTCTATAGAAAAATGTTATTTTATTGCTATAGAAAACGATTTCTTAGTTTTCTTTGTTTAAGTAATGATTATCTTTAATAAAGAATATTTTCTTGATAACGATCTCAAAGTTATACTCACATCATAAATTTTAGAAAAACTAATTATTATATGTTCACAAAAGAAGAATTTATTCTTTTTATAAATATATTATAAAACTTTAACTTTAAAGAAAAAGTCGCACTCTATGTAGTAAAATGATTTTAAAAGATTAACACTAAGATTTTCTCGCTCTCCAATACTTGAAGAAAAAGAAAATAAAGAAAATAAAATTACTTATTTCAATCTGACAAAAAACATAATTATTTGAGTATATGAAAATACATCATTTTTTCAGTCAAGAGGCGAATAATCATTAATTGTTTAAAGTTTTTACCATATATGAATCTATTATACAATGTAGATTTTATTACAGAGATTAGTTCTCTATTTGAATTTTTTTTATATATTTTTCATTTGTGATTCAAATCTGACGATACAGAAACCTTGATCACGTATAATATAAATATATAGTCAAAAATAAATAAGCTACTCACACAAAGAATTTTGTTATACATTTTTTTATACAAAGAATTTCCTTATACATTTAAAATATAAAGAACCGAAATATAATAAAAGATTTTCATTTTTATTTTATATTTTAATTTTACTTTTTAACATTTTAATCTGGCACATTATCAAAAACTTTGCCTTCTTGTGATAGGCAATTGAAATGGCTTAACTGTGTTGAAGCTTATATTCGCACCAACTATAACTTTTATTAGCGCATGAATCGAAAATTCTCATTTCACTAGTTTTTAGATAATTCAAAATAAAAAATCGGTTGAGAAAAAAAATGAGCTCAGTGTGTTAAATTAGTGTTAATATTTTCGATCGAAATACTGAACTTAAAGCGATTCAGAATGCATTTTGAATATATTTACGGATATATAAACTTATAAAATATTTAAAACAACTAACATTTATTTGAATGCAGTATATTTCTGTGTGTGATGTTAATAATAAGTTCATTGTAATTCATTGAAAATAACTTTTATTTATTATGCATTTTATACAAACGTAAACATGATACCGATTAAAATATTTTATTTCTTTAATTTAGCGCTGTGTATCTCCTTTTCTTCTCTCTCTCTCTCTCTCTCTCTCTCTCTCTCTCTCTCTCTGCACCCCCTCCCATTTCTCCCTCTTTCTTTAATCGTTAACGAGTTATTACGGTTCGTTCAATCGTGACGTCTTCTACGTTAAAACTCATTGATGCGGAATTGACAATGAACTCAGATTCCATCTCGCGATGATTCATCCAATTACGTCGCAAAACTGAATTGTCGGAAAAGCTCGCGATTGTCTCGGATCATTCTTCACGTTGGCGCTGGCGTGCGCACACGCTCGCGCAACGAGCGCCGAGCCGGGCTTCGAGATTTATTGAGGCGCGGAAGGGATATCGATCGTAGGCCCATCGTGTATTGTTAGTAATTGGAACATTTATGAGCCAATCAATCACTTCTGCTGTTGCAGTCCCCCCTATGCTCTGGATACCGCACCAATTGGTCGGCGCGCCCTTGGGTTACTCCGTTACGCTGGAATGCTACACCGAGGCTCATCCGACTTCTTTGAATTACTGGGCGAGGGAGGACGGCCTAATGATTCACGAGAGCGTCAAATACAAGGCTACGTCGTCGCCCGACAGACCGTCCTACAAAATGCACATGACGCTTACGATATTCGATATACAGGTGAATAAACGTGTCCCATCTTCGACTGCTATCGAATGGAGAGTGCGTTGTTTTTGAAATAAAAATAAAAAAAGGGAAGGAAAAAACGCAAATCTTGAAAATTCGGAAAAACCCGACGACGAATTCGTATAAGTAAAAAGAGTGAACTCTTTCTAATCAGTAATTGGCTAAGAATTTAGGTTATTGTTGCCGATTTAGGCAATGCTTGCTTTGCCAGTAACTGTAACTGATGGTAAAACTAGTCAGTTTCTAGCCAGCTTCTCATCAGTTTTTTACTAGTTTCTAAATAAATAATTTTTTACAAAATTCTGTAAAATAGTTCTCATCGTTTGGTTTCACACTATAAAATATTATATTTTTGTTCAATGTTTAATATAAAAATAATATAAAACTCATGTTTCAGAAAATAGAATTCTTTCACGTGCAAATTGATTTATTATTGAAATGATTGCAGCTTTATTTTTCATCACCTTTTTTGTCTAGTTTGCAGCCAGCCACTAGTCAAGTGGCATTGTACAGAATTTTTCGAATTTTTTCCAGGCAAAAAAACTACCCAGCACATTTACTTACCATTTTTATAGCCTAGTTTCTGGCTAGTAACTGGTCGAGATATACTAGCCAATATTTTCCTGTCCAGTTTCTGAACAGTTACTGTCGAATAAATCCTAGCCAATAAAAACTGGTCAATTTCTGGCTAGTAATCAGTTTTTTCCTGAAAATGTTTTTGGGCGTATTTATAATCTGTAACAGAATTTCGTTGGACGCAGGAGTATGAAACTGCACCTTCTATTGCCTCGCAGAACAATACAAAGAGCAAAGGAAGTATTAAAAATGGAGGCAAATTTTCACATTTTGTGTTTATGAGAATCAGCTCGCGCAATAATAAAAAAAAGAGTACGATGTGGCTGCTATGCAAAAAACTGCGTGACTTAATTGCCAAAATTTTAAAATTTGTGATTGTGTGATGGCGTTGTGTCGTAAATCACTATCGTTCGCACGCCGACGGACGATGGACGCAGTAAACTACTCGTTCGGGGTGTCGGTACGAAATAGGATCGCACGATATCATTGTTTGCGCGGCGACATAAACGCCGAATTAATTTACTGTTACTTAACAATAACGATATCAGCGATGCCTGAGAGACGCGATATCAAGCATTAAGTAGCGTTAACGCTCAAATTGTCATCGTCCGCGCCAAACTTGAAATTAAATTCTGCAGCTGCACCGAAATTGTAGCTACCACAACTGAAATTACCGCACATATCTGTTTGAAAACGTTGGCCCAACATCTTCCGCCTGTTGGATAGTGGGCGATAAAGAAAGGGAAGAATATCTCGTTACAATTGCCCGAGTAAAAAATTCCCTCAGTTTCAGGAACTTCTCCTTATCTCTACTTTTTTCTTCTTTCTCTTCCAGAAAGAGGACTACGGGAGCTACAAGTGCATCGCCAAGAATCCACGCGGGGAAACCGACGGAACGATTCGCCTGTACAGTAAGTGTCTCGTTTTGCTTACGCGCGCCCCGCAGCGATCCGTGGTAGCGTTTACCGAGGTAATGACGGTTCGTCGCCGAGCTGTTTGGCGCGTTTAACGTCGCGCTGTCATTCCCCGCTTGTTTACGAAGTCGACGAAGATGTCGGGTCTCAACGAACTACGTAATTTCTACGGCACACCCATTGACGGGATACACCGTGGTTTCTTCAGGCGACGACGCGTCGGGCGCGGGTGCGGTTTGACACGGTTAACTCCGCGGCGCGCGCGTGTGACGATCTTTCTCATAGACCAAATATACCCACGTTAATTACCTCCGTCTAATATTTGCCGACAGATCGCGATTCGCGACGGCACTCGCCTTGAATTAAATTGCAACACTGTTGGCTGCAATTAAACGCGACTGTGTACAGATGCCAGTAGTTCTGATGTCGTCCTACAGACTCAGATATCGTTTCGCTTGTCTTTTCGCGCGTAGAATACTTTTCTACTCTAGGATAGAGAGTACTGTTCCTGTGATACTTTTTTACTCTAGAATAGAGTAAAAAGAATAGAGTAAATAGTACTCTAGAATAGAGTACTATTCCTATGATATTTTTCTACCATAGAATAAAGTGCTCTTTCTACTAATAATGTGTTTGATGAACGCACATTTATTTGAATTTACGTCACGTTTCTCCGGGCCGTGAGTATGCAGTCCGGCTTTCGCATTATATATGTAGTTCCATCATATCCGAAATAAATCAGAAGAATAAAACAATAAATATTTCCAGTGCTAGTCTTTAAAGTGCAGTCAGTATATTTTTCACTGAAATTCTGTACTTACAGCTGGCGGTTCAATTAGAAGTATACCACCACAATCAGTAAAATTCCGCTGAAAAAGATCAATTAATAGTAGCCACTGTTACCATTATCGATGCAGTTTGCAAACGCGAATATTGCCATTGCACGCAAATTGCATGAAAGCCATTAATTCCGTCACGATGAATGCAGAAGGTTAGGTTTCATACAATATATAACGAATTTGTATACTATAGATCTATAGTGAAATCTTATTTCCACTTGTCAAAATCAGCGAGATATAAGACAAAGCAGCAAAGTGGGAGTGTTTTCATTGAAAATCAAGGAAGATTTTTCTCATCGGTGAAATACTCCTTTTGCTGATTTAATAAAAAATAGTCTAACTGATTCACTTCAAGAGAGTACATATTGGAAATATAACATATGCATGTCATTTCTGCGTGACTTACAATTTTATGATATGCAAATTGCGATATCAGAATTTTTTGCTCTGGCAATCTGTGTATATCTAGCATTGAGTCTCAAATGTCTTGAATACTTATATACTGACAAAAGATACATGAGTGTATGCATGATAATATCATGACGATAGTTGATCTTCAAAAAGTTGAGAAACATTCGAGGCTTTCGAGAACTCTTTGCTTCGAATAATATTCGGCATAACTCGAAACTCTCATCGCATATATTCGAAGCAATTCAATGTATCTCGGATTCATCGCAATAGATAAGAAACATATGGGTGATATATTCATGTATTTTATGAAATACCGAGGAAGAATATAAATCAGATATATATAGGAAGCAAATAGAATCAACGACGAAAACGCATATGGAGAGATCACTCCATTAGTACGGATCGGCCTTTCGCATTAGCGACATTCAAATGAATGTGAGCGTTTAGTTTAGCATAAAAGACTACCGACAAGGGAGATAGGAGGTGGCGAAGAGTAAACCTTGCCTGACCCAATAGAAAACAAAAAACGAAAGCGACTATCCATTGAATACTATCTATTTTACAGTCAACTTCTCCCATCCAACTGTTTCCCATTCCTCTATATAGGTCGCTATACGTGTACATGCACGCACACAAGTGCATGTGTAAATGTAATAATATTTAATAAATTAGAGTTTCTTAAATACCTCATTTATTTATATAAAAAAAGTTATGTGGAAATAGACATTTTCCTTGAAGTAAGAATTACATATTACGGTTACATTCTAAATTGTCAATGTGAGAATTAATTCTTCGACGGTACCTTTTTAAAGTTCATGTTTATTTCTTCCGATCATAATTAATAACATTCATAAATTATGTTTGTTTCTTTCGATCATAATTAATAACATTCATAAATTATACAATAAACAAAGTCTGCACACAGAAAATTATATATTACACACTCTAATAAATTTTACTTATCTCAAATATTTCATAAGTTTATATATCCGCAAATCTATTATTAGTTCATCATAAATATCAAATTCATCCAAAATACATTCTGGATCCTAATAAGTTTAGCATTTCAATCAAGAATATTAAATTAGCTTTAATATGGCATATTGGAATCATTTGCAAGTTTTTAATGTTAAATTACTCGCAAATTAGTGAAATAAGAATTTTCGAGTTTTATACGTACTAAAAAAGTCATAGTTAGTAAATTTGTAAGGTTTAAATATTATTCAGCTATTTCAGTCTCTTGTCATATAACAAAAAAGCAAATTTATTGTGCAATTGTTTTTGTTTCCAGTGTACCAAATTAAGAGATGTCAAAGTGTAAAAAAAAATGTAAAATATAAAGATGAAAAACAAAAATGATTTTGTCATTATATTTATTATATTATTTATGTTGTTATTATAATATTCTATAAAATTTAATGTAATGCATACAAAAAATACTCTAATTATAAACAAAAAAAAGAATCTGGTATAATTAATTTTTGCGATAATTTTAATAAAATCTCCACATTTTAATAAATCAACATTGCAAAAACTATAATTAATGATTTTATTTATCTTTTCACTGAAGTAATTAATAGTTCTCTTTATCTTTTCAATGAAAAATAATGTATTTTTGTACATCTGCATAATTATATTTTTTCACAAATTGGAATACGTAGCATCTTTTTTTTAAGTTTCAAGTATTAACAAAAAAAATCCTAGTTTTCACTTTTTTTTATTAATTTTCAGAATAGTTATAAGTTTGTACGTAAAATAATTTTTTCCACATTTCCGTTTATTTTTGCAATGAAATAAAATACTTGAGTAAATATTTACGATTATTTCTATATATAACTTTATTCTACAGATTTCAAAGTACATTTATTATTTTTATAGATATTTACTAGCATTTTTATATTTTTATTAGTACTTTTTATAGCACTAACAAAATAAGCGACGACGAAAATGACCTCAATATGCTAGATTAAGGTGCCCAAAACGTATATATGTTATGTGAGAATTAAAATAAAAATTCAGTTTGCTTTACTGCGTAGAGTCAAACATACTTCTCCCGGTAACATTTTATAATATTCTTATAAAAAATTTTTTCAAAGACATGATAATGAGTTATCCTTTTAGGATGAATATATTGCTGCAATGCTTTTATATAATAACGAAATTAAGAAAGTGAAAAGAGAACGTGATATATTATGAAAAGTATCTTTAGAAAAACGTTTGGAATAAATCAGAACATGTTGTCTGTAAGCTAAACTTTAACGCGAGTGGAAAATTAATATTCTCATCTCAGGCGGAAACAGTAAATAAACAGTATATGAGTTATTTTACAGACTACGGTCAAGAAAATTTCCTTTGTGGAAGGTAAACATTGCTCAAAAGGAGAAAAGTAAATGGAGTAATTGCTTTTCTTAGTAGCGGAATGATATTTTACTGTGTGCGCAGTTGCAAAATTGAAATGGCACGTATCAGCCGTATGGCTACGCAAACAAAGGTGAAATTTTTCAGATGTGCCATTTTTAGTCCTGACTTGAACATCCTTTTCGAAAAACGCTTTTTCTGTCGTGCTCTCTGACAAAATTAACGGCAACATTGACCATAGCGTGACGCGCGACTGCAACGCGATGATTTATGGTGAAAAGCATTCGCACGAATTCGCAAAACTGACCAAATCCTGCATTTCGACTGGACGATTCGTTGGGCTATCGGCATGTCGCTAATACTGAATTATTGGTATTCCCAAAAGGGATGCAGGATTAAGTGCGCTAAGAGTCACGCCCCATAATCGAATGCGATGCGGAGTTCTATACGAGCACCATATATTCTGCTCCGAGACGCGTAATTGCTATTTATTCCATAGACGTGAAAGCGGCAAAATGAACTTTCATCCATGATTACTAATGCTATGCATGCAATCTATTTATCACCTATGTGCTCTTCGCTTAGAATTTATTTTTTACACCTACACTGCCTTTATACAATAATGAAACTGAAAAAGTGCAAAAAGAACGTGATACATTCTTATGAAAAGGTTTTTTAGAGAAACATTTGGAGTAAATCAGGACATATCGCCTATAAGCTAAACTTTAACGCGAGTGGAAAAATTAATATTCTCATCTCAGGCGGAAATATAAACAGTAAATGAAGAGATAAAGAGAGAGAGAAAGAGACACGCGCTTTCCCGTCCATTTGGAGCCGCCGATTTTGATTCGATTGTGACCATTCCATTGTTCCGTCTACAAGCAGGAAGATGAAAACACGAAGAAAAAGCCGCACTAGAAAGGAATTCGAATTTCTCGGAGCTTCTCCAAAGGAGAAGCGGAGAAATAACTTTGAAAAGGTCCAGCGAAGGCTGGGCAAAGGGGGGCGCGTGACGGTCCAGAGAGTAAGAGACAGAGATTGAGAGAGAGAGAGAGAGAGAGAGAGAGAGAGAGAGAGACGGGGAGAGAGAGAGGGAGAGAGAAGGAGGAGGAAAGGGATGGAAAGAAAGAGAAGAGAGAAGCAAACAAACCCGCTTCGGTACAGTCACCGACGGTGAAATAACGAAACCCCTGGCGCGCGTTTCGTCGGAGAGGCGGAAAAGGTCGACCCAGTCGAAATTAAGTGGCGGTAGTTAGAGATATGTCGGACGAGTTTTATTAAGCGGCATAAAAAGGAGATTTGTAGACCGACTGAAGGAGACACGAACGGGACACGCTTCTCCTCAGGAGTCGTCGCGGCCGCGAAGCGAGAACGACGATTCCGGTCGCC